CCTCCCAACCCAGCCCCCGGGTGGTTTCTTGTGGAGGAGTTCCGCTGCGGACGTGTGTATTCGGGATTCTTCGACTAATTGCGGAGGAAGATGAGACGACCTTCTAACAGAAACGAATCCAAATGTGAAGAACTCACGTGACATAGTATTACCTTATCCGAGGAATCGCCCGGACAGCACCCGCGGTTCCGATAAATTATTCCAGTGCAGGAGCAGTCGTTGCCAGTCAGTGAGTGCCAGAGCGGAATGAGAAAAGTTTTCTAATTGATGTTGAGATGCAAGCTCGCCCGTTTAGCGTCAGCGACGTTTTCCACGTCTAGGGACGGTTCGACTGTTGGATGGCGAGGTCAGACCGCGTGGCGGCTCGTAGCAAGTCTTCCGCCGGTGTGTGTCTCTTTTTCCTTGAGTTCCCCTCCCCACCGCTCTGAACCAAAGAAGCTCTGCATGTGGCAGCTGTAAATCTCCTCGAGAGAAAGTGCTTCCGGCTTCAATGCGACTCTTACTTCAGCGACAACCGAACCAAAGCAACAAGGACAGCCGCCGCGGCAACGAGTATGGTAACGAGAGCTCCGGGATGCGCTCTACGGGTCTTGCTTCGGTTCCGCTCGTCGACGAAGAGGAGGTGAACAGCGCGACCTCGCCTCTCGATGTTATCACTCGAATCGGCTTTAATTAAGCCACGCTGAAAAGAGCAGAACGTGTTCTCCAAATGAAAGTTGAAACAGATTACCATCGCACACAGCGGCGGCTGTCAGCCATTGTTCAGGAACTCGACGATATAATTTTCGTCGAGCTCGAATGCCAATGGGAGGGACGGGTCTTCTATTCCACTTTTTCCCGCCGCATCCCCCTCAGACCGTTCCCGGTTTCAAATGAGGATTTCGCTTTCAATGAGGTCCCTTTTTCTCTCGAAGCCTTTCGGTTGACATGTCTTCTCAGAAATCATTTTGACCTCTCGAAAAGCTCGAGTCGTCCTCCCGAAAAGGATGGGGAAGCTCGAGAGCGTACAAGTTTTCAACATGGAGCCTCCCTGCTGCATGTGGTGAGTAGCTATTGGCATCTCCTCAAGCTCCGTAGAATTTTTAGGAACCCACCGAGATCCTCAACTCACTCAATCAAAAATGTCCTCGCGGGGGATGGAGTGAACGTGTCCACTTATGATGTTGACGCATGATAGAGAGAGCATCATCGCTGTATTTGAAGATGTTCACGTCTCGTTGACTTCAGAGAGGCGGAAACGAACTCGGCGTGTGACATTTTTTAAAGTTTTTCCCCAAACTCGATCTCGTTGAAGGTTATCAAGTCGGAACAAACATCCGGACGTGACTTTTTCGACTCAGCAAAGCGGCGAGTATGTTCGAAAACTCGAGAGTTTCGATGAAAGATTCGCTGGATCGCGAGACCACAAGTTTTCGGGTCGTCGGCTGAGCGAGCGAAGTGAACTTCTCCCGATGGATACCCCCCTCGAGGAGCTTGAATATTCGAAAGAATTTATTTTTCACGCGTGTGGCTTGTCGTGATGACATCGAGAGACGACTCCCATGCTCCTGAGATAATTTAGCTCCTCGAAGTGCGCATGGGAATTTCGAGAAACGATTGGAGGTGAAAAAGGAATATTGTCTCTCGACGATATGTGATAAGCGATCATTTCAACGACGCTCTACGGTGAATTGCGAAGTCCTGATGATGTGGCTGGAAGCACCCATGAAGCTCCGGGTAGTGATTATCCGTGCAAATACGAAATAATGATGCTCGACAAGAAGTTCGCGTCTCGCGGAAACAAAAGCGAGCGATCCGTGAAATAGATTAACCGCGGCTTACATCGACTCTGATGTGGTCCAGTGAGCATTCTGCAGACTCGTCTCATTTTTGACGGTGGTCAGCGCCCCATGAGGAGAAACTTGATACGGTCAGCTCGTTGCCCGCGGGTCATCGCTGGTCGTCTTCATCAACGAAATCACCTGTCCAAAGGGAAGCAACAGCTGTTTGCTCCGAGCCAGTGCGTCTCACGTTGAGGTTCGTGCGAGGAAACGGGTTCCGTACTCGAATGGTGTGAGCTTCAGACATTCTCCCCACAGCAATGATTGGACCTGAAGCACTCTGAGCTCTCCGTCCCCAACATGAATGGCGGATACGTCCGTCTCAGCCAAAATTCGAAATGAGCCGTCGAATGGAGGGTCCTGAGGTAATATGTATTCGATATTCATGAGACGCCGCAGGCATAATCATCGCCATGCCCGGGTCCGCAGCGTTTCCCGGAACAGTTCCGTTCATCACGGTCGCATCTCTCTTCCTTTGGACTATGCTTCGAATCTCTTTGATACAAAACAATAGGGAACGGATGGCGCCGAGTCGCGAGCACCTATTGCAGTTATTCAGGGAAGGGATCTCGAGTTGGCTTCCCGTGTTCCCCTCCTCGGTTTTATCTGGCTCCATCCGCGGTATGAGCGTCGCCGCTGAACTCATACATTCTTGCCGAATCCGTAGAGAGGCGGCCGTTCCGAGCTCGTCGTCGCCTCTGTCTCGAATCCGTCTTCCCGCTCCCTCGCGACGCTCCGCTGTGGAGGAAGCAATTGGGTCGCGCAATCGTGAAACATTGTCTCGCACGCTGTCAGCCCTCGCAACGAGTTGCTCGATCCTCTCGGGTTTACGACTGCAACCTGCGGGAGTCGCGAAACGAGTAGATTGAACACTGTCTTTGCTCGACATCGTCGCGGTCGGTTCAAGAGGAGACGGAATTCCCCTCTCGGTCATTGAAGTAGTCGACGCTTCCTGGATGACAGTGGGGAACCGAGAATTCCGGCGACATTTGATCCGGCTTGGAATCAAGCTGAAGAGGGGGCGAACATCTCAAACGTACCTATCAAGATCCGCCGCTGTGTCGGCGTTCTTCCGATGAACCAGTGGCGGCGGCGAGCCCGAGTTTGGGAATTCGCGGATTCCGGGTTTCACGGGACTAGGTGGTGAGACTCGTCTCGGTGTCTGCTCGCCCGACTTCCTTCAGGCCGACTTACCAGAGGAGTTCTGCTCGATGTAGGCGATTGAGGTGTTTCCCATTGAGATTGAATAAAGGAGCTCATCACCTTCCCATTATGCTGCGTAAGCGCCACGTCGTCGGGTAAATCCGGGGGGACTCCCGATTGACATTATTGAGAACCTGGGATAAAATTAGAGCGCTTTTTCAGCCATCCGTCTAAAATTCCGAAGAAATACCTCCTCCCTGCCCAGCCCGCTCCTCAAGGAAGTATTGAGCAGGCAGAGCTTACCGGCGAAATCTCTATAAAATGACCCCGGAAAGAGGGTAGAGAGTTTCCGAGGGCTCAGGTGAGAAAAAGTCATCTCCGTCGGGGGAAAGTCTGCGGCCGCAATGCATCCGTTGAGAATAAGAAGGCGGACCTCGCTTACCCTATCCCAAAATCCGGAACTAACGTCTCGCCTCAATCCTCTGATTCAGTTTTGAAAAGTGGCGCCTGATCTCTGGCGTGGCGGGCTTTCCGCTAGCCTACTCTCTCACTGAAGGAATAACCCCGATTCCGTGCGTAATCTTCGTAGGCGTTCCAAGGCCCACAGAAGCAGCATTCTATGCACGTCATCGAGCATGGGGTCTTCTTGTGGCGATCCTGCCGACTATTAGCTGGACTCCAAGATTGTCTCGTACGCAGGAGAGAGCAGACGAAATCTTTCGACTGATTATTTTGTAAACAAAGTCGCCGCCGCCACTACTACTAAGATGAGTGTGCCCAGGCTTCGTGTGTTATCAAAGGTTTGACGCTTGGTAGCGCTGCTCTGCGTTCGCGCTTCACCTTGTCTCCGGTATCCGAAAAATCGTTGAATCTTCCGAGTTGCTCGTTTCCGCCAGAAAAAAAGCGGCGGAGCGACGAACGCGAGTCTCGAGATTCATCTACCGTGGAAGCGTCTGCGTCTCCCGGTGCCTCCGGTAAGTTTGCAGTGAAAATAAGCCACGTGAAGTCTAAACTTGAGATCTTTTCCGGAGGGAGATCCTCGATCGAACATTCGGAATTATTTCCTTCCTTGTAGAGAACTTTCACCGAGGGTTTTGGGCGTCAGGCCAGCTCGATTCTCTATCGATGGCTCGCTGAGCAACTCGGGAATATTTATCGGTCGAGCCTCCGCGTCATTCTCCCGGATAGCCTCGATAGCCGGTCGAATTAGCTGACTGTATCTGTTGCGAAGACCGCCGAAGCGCTCTCCTCATCGCTGAGCCCCCTGGCGAGGAAAAAGAGCGGGAGAAAGTCTCTTTCCTGGCGGGGGCTTGTTGGCCTAGTTGGCCGAGGTTTTCAATCTCTGAGTTAAAAAAAACGCTTCTTCGAGTTACCGTGTTTCCGGGCTCGTAGATCACGGCGTCATCGATTCTTCCACCTGTCCCAGGCCAAATTCGACTCTCTGGTCAAAACCCTCGTTGTTCCGGTGGATAGCCGTTGTGGGAGTATGCGGAATCTCCTTCGAATACTACCCAGTCAATAATTTCACCTCCATGCGGAATTCTCAACGCGAGCTCTCTCTGATGACCAAATTCTCTCTGTTTCCGACGACGTGCATCGATTTGTGGAAGTCGATTTGAATTTGACGCTGCTTTTCCGATCGCGGGGTCACACGGGCTTCTCCTTCGCTGTTAGGATCCGTATCTGAGGCTCACCGAATCTTTTCATTCAAGTCGTCGGCGTCTCCGAGACTTCGATTGGCAGAGATTATTATCATTCTTCTTGTTCTCGCTGTCTGTGGCGGAACAGCGGTGGATGATATCTCTCTTCGTTCGTTTCGTCGCTATGTTCTAGTGTCCGTATAAGGCTGAGAATATCCGTCGGTTGATTTTGAAAAAAACGATACATTGCGTTTCAGCTCCAGGCGATCGTTGTCCAATTGTTGTGCTTCCAAGGGACTTCAAGCTGTAGAGATTTCCGTAGATCGATCGGCTCTCCTCCAACTCGCTGTGTATCGTCGACGTCTGTCCGTCCGTCCGTTGAATTTCGGCACCGGATATGGCTCACCGGGACCGCTCTCGATCACCGATTCAGCTGAGGGCTCCGTGCGAACGAAGAGTTTATGTGGCGAATATCCCTTTCGATATGAAGTGGACCGAGCTCAAAGACCTGTTCAAACGCGAATGCGGCGAGAATTCCGTTTCGTTCGTAAGGTACTTCGAAGACACCGACGGCAAGTTCCGAGGTTGTGGGATCGTGGAGTTCAAGGACTCCGAAGCTACCAAGAAGGCCATTGAAAAGCTCCACCGTTTCGAATTGAACGGCCGTTTCCTGGTTGTCAAAGAGGATTACGACGTCGAGCGAGACTCGACGGGACGTGTGGTCACAACGCGTGGCGGACGTGGTGGTCAGAAAGACCGCGAGTCCATTGGACACGGCCGAGATCGGTCGCCTCCGAGAAGGGAGCGATCCCCTCAACGAGACTATGGCAGCAACCATGTAGGGTCCGTTTCGGGTTCGTTCAACACTTACGGACTATCTCCAAAGTTCCTCGATTCGCTCGGCATCGATCTCCCGCTCACCAACAAGCTTTTCATCGCTAATCTTGACTACAAAGTGACTAGAGGTGATTTGAAAAGGCTGTTCAAGTTGTGTGGTCGAGTTCTCGACGTCGAGTTGTACGTGGATAAGGACGGAAACTCAAAAGGCAACGCCACCGTTGAACTCGACCATCCGATCGAAGCTGTCCAGGCCATCTCGATGCTCAACAGACAGATTTTCCACGGCCGACCGATCGCCATTCGCATGGACCGTAAGGATAGCGATGATCTCAAACTCCCCCCTGGCCTCGAAGGTGTGGGCAAGGGGCTCGGACCTGGTGGGGCTCCTCTACGACTTCCAAGAGATTTCCCCCCCGTGGGTAGCGGCGGGTCCAACCCGACGCCCGCCCCTCCCGCACCGGCGCCCGTGCCACCAGTGTCTGGAAATCCGATGGCCAATCTCGTGGGTTTGGGTAACCCGAACGCGGCTCCGGCTGCGCTTGCGGCTCTGTCTACAGTGCTCGGCTCCCTGGCGGGTCAAAGCGGGGCAGGAATGTTCGGCGGCTCGAACCAAGGTGGGGGTGGAATGGTTCCAGGTGGGAACAACTTGAGCACTTCCATGGGTGGTAGCTTGGCATCCATGGGTCTGGGGGGAAGCAATATGGGCGGAGGTCTTGGGAGTAGCTTTGCCGGGGGAGGTGGGATGGGTGGAGGCGGCTTAGGAAGCGGGAACATGGGTGCTCATGGCGGCTTGGGAATGGGAGGTGGGATGGGAGGAAAGTACGACGATATGAGCGCTGGAAACGGCAACGCTGCGAAATACGAAGATGACGGAAGCAAGTGGAGATACTAGAAATTGATCCCGAAATTCCTAGAGGTGCGGAAGTATTCGGCATCGATGCTGCTGGCGATACCGTGAAGAAGACGAAGCGATCTCGGCGGACTCCATTCCTCCTGTTCTCTCATTGAACCCATCGGTGGATTCGATATCGTATTCGACAAAATATTCCTGTCATCCTTGATCCTCTTCGGAAAATATTGCTTGGATTGAAACGAAAAAAATTCGGGTTGTCACCTTCCACTGCACATGTATGCTATCATTCCGTCAATTATTGATGCGGATGACGGGAAAGTTCCCGGGTTGAGAGTCCGCAGCGGGATTCATCGACAATGTAAACTGAATCGATTACTCCAGAACGAATCCTGTGTAATTAGCCTTCTTTCCGACCTCCAAAGCAAAAGTGAGAAATTCTCCAGAATGTCACGGCTAACCCAAATACATGCTCAGGTCCTTCTGAATGAGAGTTTGAAAGTGAATAAATGGGTACCCATAACCCTTGCGAAATCCAAACGACGCGCTCTTTTTTTTCTCTGAGTAGGCATAAAAAACTAGATGACGGAGAAACTACCCACCTCTGCGCGAGAAACCTTCTTAGGAGGATCCCCGTGCTCATCCGAGCCATGCATCTCGGGACAGGAGGAGATAATCACATGAGCGCACCGTCGCGTCGTCCCAGCTCCCACGCCACATGATTCGCCTCGGGCGCTCGGTTTCCGTCTCTATGAATATCACGCTCGAGAGCGCCTTATTCCCGAAGACACTTCTAGCTGAGGAATCGATACCAAGCCGAATAAGCCATGAATTAGCGGAGCTTGGCCTAATCGGATCAAACGCTATCATCCCGTTGTCCTAGTTCTTATCGCCGGCGGCTCTCCGAGGTCGAATATCAGGCGAAGAAACACGCTTTGCAGAGCCGATCATTAAAGTGGATACGGATTATGTATGGGAACTGAATTCGATTCCGGGAAGCTTTTTGGTAGGTTTCAGCAGATAAATGAATCGGTCTTGGGAAGAGAGTTTCAGGTTCCATCGCTCCTGGCTAAGCAAACGAAGAGGAAGAGCGAGAATCGTCCAAGAACGATTGCCTCAACCCTGAAATCGTCTGCTATTATTTGCGCGAGCCAACTTCACTAAGCGACACATCCAGATTATATTGTGTGCGAAATATTGCCTCCTCCCCATATCGTAGGATGTCGCTCTCCGCATGGAGGCTCTTGTTCGACCATGGGACGGTTTCGACCCTTCCAGCACCAGAAATCCTCGTGAATGAATTATTATCATCACTGCCCAGACCGACCTGACTCACTCAGTCGCGAAAGCTTTTCATCAGTTACTGTTTTCATTAGACTAGTGTCTGTATCTAGCAGTCATTAGGATACGAAGAAGAGGCTCTATCGTAGGCCGACCGTATTGTATTGTAGACCTTCATCGGGAACACTGACGGCTCGTGCACCACTGGATGAGACATTGGAAGCCGAAACGCAATGACCCATTACTGGGACAAGTGAGATGATCTGGTCGCCCGCTTTATTGCTCTCCGTTTCTGGTTCAGTTTTCCGTTTCGTATAGATATTGCTCCATTCAAACGGCTTCAGCTCTTCGCTTGCCTAGCTCATCGAATGAAGCAGATGAGTCGCTGTAGAGGGGGTACGCCTCGCAGCCTGTCAATCGGCCAAGTTCGAGTTTTTATGAAGTCGATTTTTGCCCACTTGCCACTGTTACTTCCTTTCCTAACCCTTACCGTGAGCTATCGCGAGCTCAAGCAGCAGCTATTATTTCGCCCCCGCTTCAACAGGCATCGTCTCCACCGGCTCCCGTTCAGACGTCCCGTTTCCGTGGTCCATCGGCAGAGTTCCTAGGATTCGCTTGTCGACAGAATGATCGAAGATCACCCCACGGCATCGGTGTCAATTCCTTGTTTCGACTGAATATGGTCATTTCGTTAGGTTCGGATAGGCGCGATAAAAATTCTGGATGCCTCAGATCTCCTCAACGTCAAGGATTCGATAACTCGAGCCTGTCATCCTATCGAGGGATAGCCTCCAGACCGCCGTCCTAAAGAATTTCATGTTTTCTTCGAGGACCGCGATTTGCTTTTGATTTTCGTGCTCGTGTAGTTCATCAGTCCCCAGAGGCTCTGCCCAGAGGTGAAAGTTTCCCTCATTCTCTGTCTCTATTCTCTTCGTTCAACGAAAAATTAGGTAGGTATTTTATCTTCATCGCCTGCCAAGCCCCACGATCTAGGAGCCTCGAAGTGCTCGCATTGCCTACAATACAAGATGCGCTTATCGAGACTCGAAACAGGAATTAGAATCTAGCCAAGAATAGATCGAGTGATTTCAGCTAGGGATTAAACGGGAACCTTATTATCCACTTGCAATCTCCCGAGTGACAGTCTGGTCTATTGGGTGGGAAGAAGCGACTCGAGACTCGAGTCAGTGGATAACTCATCAGCAAGATGAGGTCCGGAAGCAGCCCGGGAAAAGGCCCCACTGTCGCAGGCGGATACCGTAGGAAACACGCCTCGACTTCCTAAGCTGAGGTCGCGGAGCTCGTATGCAGAACTGGGAAAAACTCGCAAGTTCTATATGTATTCTGTCTCTCGAATTTAAATTTGCGCCACTACGGGTCGGCCCTGGCTCGAACATCTTGATCGGCCTCATCAGAGAGGGCTTCAGCTGCGAATCACATCGGTTAGTCTTGATTTGTCGTAGATGGAGAAATTCAAGAGCAATGTTGAAGAAAACAAGAACTCTCCCAGAGAGGCGATGTAAATAGACGGCAAGTATGTCGGGCACGAGGAATCTGATCTCATGGAATGAGACCCGACTCCTTTGAAATATCTCAGGCATCCACTGCAGGCCGCTTCTCAATGGGACGCAGACGTTCCAGATACAGCGGACCGGTGGTTTTCCGAGGAGACTAAGGACGGGAAGTTCCAGTGAGTCAAGTAAATTCAGAGAATTAGGTATTCCGTCAAGCAGTAATCGGAGAGTTATACTCTCGAGGACTACCAGGTTAGAGACGGAAATGCCTTTCTCTCGAAGGGGCTGCTGGATTCAAGTATCGTGAGTGCTCATTGGCTAGGCTGGGGACGGTGCGAAGCTATGCTCGCCGAGCAACGAGCGAGCGAGAGGAAGTTTTTCAGGGATACCGAAATGACTCGCTGAAATATTCCGTCGACATTTGTCCGTGGAAGTAGAGAGAAGGTCGACGAATGAGAATCACGAATACGGAATGGAAAGGAATCTATTCATAGCTCTCGACAAAATCTGGTCGTTTTTCTAGCGTTAAATGGCTCCTTCCGATGAATGAGTGCTCGACTTGAAGTTCCAGAGGGTCGAACACGACATCTGGGAGCCAAATCCATCGAGAGGGAAGTTTATTCTGCTGCGAGCGAACACTTGACGTATGAGCCTCTGCTGTCTCCAGAATTGATTGTCGTCTGGGGCCTAGGGCTCGATTTTCGGAATCATTCTCGCGAATAAAATGTTTGCTCGGAGCCTGAAATCGCCCTAATTGAAATTTTCCAAGCGACTCCCTTCTCAAGCTCTCCCTGGGATTCGGATCTGGCAGGTTTCAGATCCAAGCGGAGCAATCCCCTTCCCGACGCTGAATATACGTTTTTCAAGCAGGCAAAAATTTGTGACAGCTCGCGTTCGACCGCTCACGGCCTTTTTGAGCTTCGTTAGTGATGTCAACGAGAGCTGCTAAACCTGTCGTTCGGCGGAACGAGATCGACTCCCGCCGATCCTGAGCGACGACTTCGGTTTTCCGCCTATTCGATAAGCGCGCTTGTACGGGAGTGATGCCGCGGAAGTAGCGAGCTCGTGAGGATCCCGTCGGCTTTGAGCCTGAAGGCTTGCGATCGCTCCGATGAAACCTGCAAAGTGAACAGGAGTCCTATAATAATCGACAACTGATGCCCTCGAAATCATTCAGCCCGCCGGATTCGTGTCCGCCGGGGCTTCCCTCGGCTCGCTAAATCGCTGGATCTTGCGGTCATATATGCGGACCGCTCGTCATTCAAGTCAGAGATGGAGGCAGATGGGTAAGTTTGCGGTCGGACCATTTGTGTAGGAAACGTTCAGAATGTTTCCTTGAGACCATCAGAACACAGGCGGTTTTTAGCTGCTCGACCTCACGTACAAAGCCTTCAGCGAAAGTCCTGCCCTCTGAGGCACGTCTACGTTTGTCCACTCGTCTTCTCGATGTGAGTCGAGAGTGGGCCGACAGCTTTGAAGCCGTGAACGCCGAGCTCTCATACGATGACCCAACCGTTTGTCAAAGCAAGACCGAGAAACAAAGCTCCGAGAGCAAGGTCGCAGCGATACGTCAAAAACGATGCCGAGACAGGGCGTCGAAATCACTCGAGGAGCTTATCGAGGGGTGGCTTCGTTTAGATGAGGAGTAATGGCGTGAGGAGCCGTCTTCCCGACGTGACTCAAAAGTAGCCTGGGAGCCTCAACGCTCTTTCCTTCTATCGTGTAGTACCTACTATGCGAGGACTCGTTTATTTCTCCATGCGAGCCTCGATTTCAGAACACTCGTTCCGCTAGAGAGGCCTTTCGATGCGCGGCGTTGCAGAGATGAAGACTTCTACGACGTGCCTCGATAGGATTTATAGCGTCCGTCGTCATTAATAATGAAGGGAGTGTCTCGGTCGGGATCTCTGTTAGCGGTCCGACTCTATAGCTTCATAATTGGGGCCTCGTAGCTTAGGATACAGATTTCGAGAGAAAGAACCCCATGCGTGCCGGGGGCGCTCGCCCGCGGTTCTGTCGCTGGCTCGAGATATCGCCGTCATCACATGAGCGACCAACGGTTTGTTTTCGTTCAGTTTCGACACGTTCGAGCTTCGATACAGAGCATTGCCTCAGATTTTAAGCCTCTCGCCTTGTCGAGCTTGTAGTGGAACGAAAATATGTTTGGATCGCTACTTACGAACGTTATAGATTCCGGGGTGCCCTCTGGGCTCCATCAGGGGAACGGATCGAAAAAACACCGGATTT